GTTCGACAAGCTAGTAAGTGGCGAGGCTCAGATGCAAGACGAAGCTGGTCCACCTTCAAAATCTACGCTCCCCCAGCCACGCTTCCCTGCTTCCCTTCTCCAACATCACCAGACCTTTCAGCAAACGACTCTCGTTCTTGGTTAAGTATCCACGCTGCCACCATCCTGCTCAGTGCTGTCGAGGACTCCAAGCTCACTCAGTACTAATGCTCAAATCAAGTATCCATCTGAAACAGAACAACTTTCACAGTATGTTATTCTGTGTAAGTCTCTGCTAGCTGGAACCATCATCTCACAAAGGCGCAGGACTTCCCACTCCCTGGAGAGGCAGGGACTGAGGCCTGCATCAGGGCGGCTCCAGAACTGCGGCTCCTCGCACTTGGTCTTCCTGCCCACCGGTCTCTTCCTTCCTGCGCTTTCCAGCCTATCACTCACCCTACCTAAAGAGTAACGCCCTAAAACAACACTTTCCCCAAATCCATTCCACAAGAACCTACCTGTGAGGGATCAGAATTCTAACCCTCAGCTTTCTAATGGGTGTGCCAAAAATGGGCCAGGGGTGGACCAATTCTGATGTCCCCATTCGGCCCTCTGTGGGCAGACTCCCCACATGCTTCGGTGCCTCCTGAAACACCCTGAAATGCAGGGGTGGGCCAAAGAGAGCTTACAGTTGTGAAATGGACAGGTAGTTTCTCCTTGTATTATTATTTATTAATTATTGTACTGTAACTGTAAACCTACTTTTGCCCACTCCTCTATGTTGGGAAGTGCTTTCAGGGCCCCCTAAAATCCGTTCCCAACCTATTACACTTGTTTCTCACGCCCTTCCAAGGTCACTGGAAGAATTAATGGAAGTCATCTGGTCATACTTTATTCACAGCACAATAATCACTTCTACCTGTATGTCTAATATCATCCACTGCTGCATTATATATAATAAGAAAACACTAGAAGCAATCCAAAGGGTACAACAATATTGCTATATTAATTGTGGTATACTCAATGGTGACATGCTATGCCCCATCAAAAACAATGCAGAAGCTAATACAGATATATGTGGCTCTCTAAGATATAATCAATGAAAAAAAAAGCAAAGTTTAGAAGTGTGTATATGTTACCATCAGTCTAAGAAGAGGGGGACGTATGTGTCTGAATGTACACATTGCATTATAGGTGGGCCTATAGGGGTGATTAGGTCATGAATGTAGAATCCTTATGAATGGAATCAGTGCCTCTTATTAGAAAGACCCCAGAAAGCTTGCTCCCCCTTCTGCCACATGAGCACACAGAGAGACCGTGTGGGCTATGGGCCGGAAGAGGGCCATCACCCAGCCGTGATGATGCCCTGACCTCAGACTCCTGCCTCCAGAACCACGAGCAATGGATTCGTGGTGTTACGAGCTACCCAGTTGGTGGCATTTTGTTAAAGTAGCCCCAACAGACTAAAACAGCATGAAACGTCCCTTAAAAGGACACTAAGAAAAGTGGTAACATCTGTTCCCTCTGGAGCAGAGAACTAGGCACATGGAGAACAGAAGGCGATGTCCCACATTTATAGCCTTTGAATCCTTTGAATTTTGAACCACAAGAACGTATTATCTTTTCAGACAAACATAAACAAAATGATAATGTTTTAAACTCCGTGTATAGACACCACAGCTCCTGCATCTCTCCCCATCACCTGCCAACGCTGGGCTGGGCTCTGGCCCACAGAAGAGTTCCCTGCGAGTGACCCTGCCCTCCAGGCGGGCCCGTGTCCCCCGGTCTGCACCCACAGGCCCAGAACAGCGCCCAGAACCTCCCCCTTTTCCCTTGCTCCCCTTCTAAACCATCCACCGCCTCCAGGACTCTCTCGGTTCACACCCCGACGCCTCCAAGACTTGCCGGAACCCTGGAATCCTGACCACCCCACACAGTTTCATTACCTTCTAACTTTTTACTTGAGTACCTGGAACACGTCTATCTCATCTTAAAAGGGAGTTATTTTTAAGAACAAAACAAAAACTGTGTGGTCTAGAAGTACTAGTTTCTGCTGAAGGACAGAGTGATTACCACAACAGGAGGCAATCAGAATATCAAATAAAATGAAAACCTGATTATATCCTTTCGGATGAAAACCTTTCAATGGTTTCCAATGCTGTTAGGACAAAGTCCAAACTCCCCAATATTTTTCACCAGAACCCTCAAACCTTCCACACCTCCCCCCTCATCGCCCTTCAGATTCCCATGCACAGCACGCCCCGCCTCGCCACTGGGACTCCCTTACGGCATTCCCCTACCCGGACCAGCCCCCTCTTGTTCCCAAGCCACCTTTCCTCTGGTTCAGGAATCAGTTCACAAGTGAAATGTTGGTTTTCTCCTATCAAACTGGCAAAGATCAAAGAGTCTAACAATGCATTTTTTTTTAATTGATTATGCTGTTACAGTTGTTCTATTTCCCCTTCATTCCCCTCCACCCTACCCCCCATCCCCACTATCACCCCCCCTTTAGTTTATGACCATGTGTCTCAAGTCCTTTAGATTCTATATTTCCCATGCTATTCTTGCCCCCCCATCTATTTTCTATCTACTGTCTATGCTACTTATTTTCTGTACCTTCTCCCCCCTTCTCCTCCTCCCACTCCCCTGTTGCTAACCCTCCTTGAGATCTTCATTTCTATGTTTCCACTCCTGATCTAGCTGTCCTTTTAGTTTGCTTTCGTTTTAGGTGTGGTTGTTAATAACTGTGAGTTTGTTGTCCTTTCACTGTTCATGTTTCTTTAACTTCTTTTTCTTAGATAAGTCCCTTTAACATTTCATATAATAAGGGCTTGGTGATGATGAACTCCTTGAATTTGATCTTATCTGAGAAGCACCTTATCTGTCCTTCCATTTTAAATGAAAGTTTTGCTGGATAGAGCAATCTTGGTTGTAGGTCTTTAGATTTCATGACTTGGAATACCTCTTTCCAGCCCCTTCTTGCCTGTAAGGTCTCTTTTGAGAAATCCGCTGACAGTCTGATGGGGACTCCTTTGTAGGTGACTGTCCCCTTAGCTCTTGCTGCTTCTAGGATTCTCTCCTTCATTTTAATCTTGGCTAATGTAATTACGATGTGCCTTGGTGTGTTTCTTCTTGGGTCCAACTTCTTTGGTACTCTCTGAGCTTCCTGGATTTCCTGGAAGTCTATTTCCTTTTGCCAGATTGGGGAAATTCTCCTTTATTATTTGTTCAAATAAGTTTTCCACTGGTGGCTGTGCCTTTCCCCCTTCTGGTACCCCTATAATTCGGATGTTGGGGCGTTTAAAGATGTCCTGGAGGTTCCTAAGACTCTCCTCATTTCTTTGAATTCTTGCTTCTTGACTCTTTTCTGTTTGGCCATTATTTGCTTTCTTCTGGTCCACTCCATTGATTTGAGTCCCAGTTTCCTTTTCATTGCTATTGGTGTCCTGTGCAATTCCATTCATTTCAATGAGTTTCGCCTTCATATATTTGTCTAATTTGTCCGTATAATCAACCAGTTCTGTGAGGATCCTGATCACCAATTTTTTAAACTGTGCGTCTGTGAGTTTTGCTATTTCTTCATCGCTTAGATTTATTTCTGGGGCTCTGAGATCCTCCTGGGCCATTCTTGGTCTGTTCTGGCCCTTTAAGTGTGAGAAGCCGGCGGCTTGGATTCCCAGGTCGCTGGGTTGTGACGCTGTATGTGGGGGCGTGGCCAGAGCGGGGGAAATGGCGACCCCCTCTGCCGCTTCTCACAGCTGGGTGCGGAGGAGCAGTGCCTTAGGTGGTTCACCTGGGCCGGGCCACTCAGAGTCGCTGGGTTATGACGCTGTATGTGGAGGTGGGGTCAGAGCAGGGAAATGGCGGCGCCCTCCACTGCCGCTTGCCGTGGGGACCTGCCGGCCTGGTCCAACCGCCCACTTCCTCGCCTGTCCACCCTCGCACAAATGCGCGACCTCAGTCAACACGCAGCCCCCGGCCCGGCTGTCTCCCCCGAGGTCGCTCGCCTGGTTGCTCGCTGGGTCGCTCACTAGGTCTGACCCTGCGTCTGGATTCCGCGGGCCTGAGTGTGTCTGGCCGAGTCCTCCTGTGCAACCCTGCTCCGCCAGCCACTGGTTTCGCCCCTTACTGGTCAGGCTGAAGAATTTGTTGTTAACGGACTTCCGAAAAGTTCAATTTTCCATGTTCTGGCTGTGTTTTCTGTTGCTAATATTTAGTTTTCTCTAATCTTGGTTGTGGGAGAAGGCACGGCACATCCACCTATGCCTCCATCTTGGCGGAAGTCCCTAACAATGCATTAAATTGACAAAGGTGAGGGGAAAGGTACCTTCCCATACACTGCTGGTAGCAGTATAAACGGGTACGACTTCCACAGAGCACAGTTTGGCCACACCCACCAAAACGGCAAATGCATATGCAGCCTGACCCAGCAAATGGACTTTCTGAACCAGAGCTACACTCGTATCATGAGGACTAGTGCAGGCGCCATTATCTGTTGTAACAGAACACTGGGAACAACCTCCATACCCAAGAGAAAACTGATCAAATGTGTTCTATAAACAGTCTTCAGACACTGAAAAGAAACGGCAGCTGCATATATGCTTAAGTACACAAGACATGTTTTACTTAACTGTGGAAGAAAGAGCCAGAGACGGCAAGCAAAAAAGAAACAGCAAGGTTATGTGTAGTATCCTACCACTTGTGTTTAAACAGTTTTGTAAAATGTACATGAGATACAAACTTAAATAATCTTGTACTATCGTTAGAAGGATTCAAAAGAAACTGCTACCAGAAATCATCTCTGGGGAAGGGAGGTAGCTGAGCGGACAAAAAAGGAGAAAAACTTATTTCCTACTTTTCTACCTTTTGGATTTTCTACTGGTACATGCATGACAGACAGGTAGATAATGGATGGACGGTAAGTGGACGGATAGACATTAAAAAACATTTTTTTAACAAGGAGCATACACACAAATATGTGTGGGCCTCCATAAAACGTTCACGTCCAAGTGCTCTCTTACCTGCCAGTTGGTGCGGGGAATGAAAACGAGAGAAGCTGGTTCCAGAAGGGGTCGTTCTCAGAGAGCGGCTCCGTGCCCGACAACTTCTTCAAGTGCTCGTTCGTGGGGAGGTCGCCGATCCTGCTGCTGTTCGACCCCATCTTCTGACCCGGTCCACAGTTTGTCCTTAAACCTTCATCTCCATGGGACAACCTACAAAGAACGAACAGCATTTCAAACTTGTTCAAGATAATCCTCCTACGTGTCCCTACCTACCCTTGACCTAAATGTAAAAGACGGTAAACTTACTAAAGGAAATCACACCTTTATTTTCCTTTATTTTTATATATATTAGCCATCAGATACAAAGTTATAAGACGGAAAATGGGGCTAACATCTGCCTCGGCCGACATAAACACAAAAATCAGAACCTGTACATGGAGATCTTAGAATGGGCAAACCTCCCTCCCCTGGCCCACACGCCAGGGTGCCATCTGCTGAGCGGAGCGCAGGCAGTGCCCGAGGCAGCTGACGTGCCCAGGGAGAACAAGCCAGGAGACCAGCCACCAAGTACTGCTGTCAGAAAGTTCCACCTGCTCCCTGCCCGCACAGAAAGCAAAGTAGAAAACTGAGCCCAATGGCATCTCTTCTGCAATGAATCGTGCCAAGCCCCCCCCCCACACACACACACACACATGACCCACAGTTTTATCTGAACTCCCGAGACTCTTACCAATGAAAACTAGGATAAAACAGAACTGGAAAATCCCACTATCCAATCAGCTCATCTCCCAGAGCCCTGCTGCTCGTCCCGCTCACTGCGCCTCAGAAGCCTTTTGGCCCTCAGTGCCCCTTTCTCTCTATCCATCAGTCACTGAGTCTGCCTCCTGCGTCCACTAGCAGCTTCCACGGTACCCTCAAAACTCTCCCGGACCCAGCCTCTGACCAGAACGCCAGTTCTTCCTGGATCCCTAAAATACTTAAGGCTCTTAAAGCTCAAGGATAATATATTTTTAATTATATACGTAATATATAAGCGGTAATTTGGTGCATAACAATGCACCTTATATAAATCCGTACTAAAAATGAGGAGCACGCCATTGCTGACGCTTTTAGAAGTAAACCTATTTTAAAGCGATGTAGCCAAGAACCTGATCTTAACGTGTGCAAAACCAATTCCATCCTCCCTCCCCAAACCAGCTTGCCCTCTCAACTTCCACGACTCCCGTGAAGTTACCATTATGGTGAAAACCACATTGAAATGTGGTTTTTCTGTAGTATGTATGACATACCTCCTGAGGTAGATTATTCCTGAATAATAATTTAAAGTAAAAATATATATTTTTTTGTTAAATAAATGATGGTTCTCTCCCGACCCTCCCTCCCTCAGGAAGAATCTGTGTGCATTTCTGGCCTGCCCTTTGACCTCCATGTGAGTGATCCCAGGACGAGTGTTCTGTCCTGACCTCTCAGTCCAAACCCGAGCACAAATTTTTACTTAACAGCCATTTCGACTGCTGTCTTGCTATCACCGTAAATAGTGAAGTAGATTTTAACATGTGTCCCCCTCAAATAAGCAACCCCTCCCAAAGTCACTATTTCTATCAACGTTATCAACCTTCTTGGCTCAAACTGTCTCACATAACCAACCATTCGTTCGATAAATGCCTGTTACACACTCACTGTAAATGTTCAGTTATGCTGGACACTGAAAATGTAGAAGTGAATAAGACCAGGTCCCTGCCACTAACGAACTCAACGCCTCTTAACACATACGGTGGGCAGTACAACTGAGTGTGGACACGCAAAAAGCTATGGAAACACACGGGAGTGCCTGAGGCCGAGGGAACAGAATGCACAACGGCACTTTCACTCAGCCGGTTTCCTTACGTGATCTAAAGTCAGCAGCTACGCTAAGTACCTTACAATTACTGATTCATTTCTGCCCTGTCGACAACTCTAAGAGGAGGTCGCAACTTTCTCACTGTACAGATGCGGAAACTAAGACACAGACGGGTTAAGTAACTTCCCCACGGTCCCAGAAATTAAGTGACAAAGCCAGGATTGAAACCCAGGTGATCTAATTCCGGAATGCCTGGTCTTGACCACTCTATTAGAACGACTCTCGAACAAGCCCTTCGGTTGTTCTAGAACACGCACAGTGCTCCACACCATCCTTTAAATCCCTCTCTTCCTTTCCATTCCCACCACCTCCAAGCCAGACCAGGCTTCTATAATCTCAGACGTGATGCAGCAGTACCTGGGTGTCTTTGCTTCCAGTCTTTCCACTTGGATTCACTTTGTACACTCCAATACTACACTGACCCTTAAAAAAAAAACACAGGACGCCCTGCCTGGTGTGGCTCAGTGGATTGAGTGTTGGCCTGCGAACCAAAGGGTCGCTGGTTCAATTCCCAGTCAGGGCACATGCCTGGGTTGCAGGCCAAGTCCCCAGTAGGGCACATGTGAGAGGCAACCACACACTGATATTTCCCTCCCTCTCTTTCTCCCTCCTTTCCCCTATGTCTATAAATAAATTTTAAAATCTTTTTAAAAACAAATAAAGAGCGGGCTAGCCATCTACAGCCATCCACCACCAAACACACTCACTCACACGGCGAGTTCCCAATCGATACATGGAGTCTCGATCTCAGATAAGGAGGGATCACCAAAAACAAGACGAGTTTGGACCCTCCAACATGAAATAAAGAAACCAGAAAAAGGAATCAGGAAGCAAATGATTCTGAGAGAGGAAAAAATTTAAAAACTAAAATGAATGTCAGGGAGATAATAAAAACAGTAAATGTGAACAACCGTGTGGCGCCTGGCACGTCCTCGGGCAGCACCCAACGGCTCACGCTGACTCAGCGGGTCCCCACCACAACCGCTGCGGCAGCCCCAGCTCCACACCCACCGCCAAGGCGGGGCCAAGGGCCAGGCCAGCCTGCTGCCTGGGGGTCATTTCTCATACCCATAAACGGCTGAAACAAATAAAGAACATTTTGTGGACTTATCTAAGAAAAAGAAGTTAAAAAAACATGAACAGTGAAAGGACAGCAAACTCAGTTATTAAGAACCACACCTAAAACAAAAGCAAACTAAAAGGACAGCTAGATCAGGAGTGGAAACATAGAAATGAAGAGCTCAAGTAGGGTTAGCAACAGGGGAGTGGGAGTAGAAGACGGGGAGAGAAGGTACAGAAAACAAGTAGCATAGACAGTAGATAGAAAATAGATGGGGGGGCAAGAATAGTAGGGGAAATATAGAATATAAAGAACTTGAGACACATGGTCATAAACTAAAGGGGGGGTAATGGGGACGGAGAGGTAGGGTGGAGGGGAATGAAAGGGGAGAACAGAACAACTGGAATGGCATAATCAATAAAAAATAAATAAATTAAAAAAAAAAGAACATTTTGTGACATGTGGAAATTATATAAAATTAAAACCACAGTGTCCGTAGGCTTTATTAGAACATGGCCACTCTCCTGTGTTCACACACTGTCTGTAGCCACTGTGGCGACTCGGCAACAGAGAGGCTGAAACAGAGAACCCGCCCGGTGCTCTCACCGTGCACACTGCTTTTCAACGTACCACACACTTCAGTGACACACATGACAATGACAGCATTCCAGGTGCTGCAACTTTTTCTTCTTTAATCCTCGCTGGAGGATATATGTATTGATTTTAGAGAGGAAGGAGTTGGGAGGGGGCAGAGAAAAACATCGATGCAAGACACACAGATTGGTTGCTTCCCATACACACCCCGACCGGGGATCGAACCCGCAGACTTTTGGTGTATGGGGCAACACTCCAACTGACTGAGCCACCACCCACCCGGCCAGGGATACAACATTTATTTTTAAATTACCGGTGGAGATCTATCATGTCAAAAAAAGAAAAAGAAAAAAAGAAAGTAAATTTTGAAGACACACTTTTAAGTAACTGCAGAGTGCAGATTATTTTTAATCTAATTAGATGTCACAGCACTAGGTTTATTACGTAACAGCACTGTAGCTGTGCCAGAAGAACGCAGCACAGGGAAGACAGCACCAGCCCGGCACGCCCGACCTCACTGCACGAACTCCCCATTCAGGACAGTGATGCTAAGGAAACCAGAAAAACTTAAAACGAGGCATTTCACCACAGCAGCATCTTCCCAAAATAAAAAATGAAAGCAAGGCTGCAACCAAAGTAAGTTTCCAAATGGCTCATCTGTTAACTAGTGAGACAAAGTCATTTGCTCTCATTAGCTAAGTTAGATTGTTTGATAACAACAGCCAAAGAAATGTATCCAGAGAAAAGAAACATCTTTAAGGCCTGTCTGTCAGTGAAAACAGTTGCTCAAAGGAGAGTCTGTATGGAACAATTACAGCCCATGAACATTTCCCAAAACAACTGAGAAGATACTATTTCAGTACAATATGAAGTGGAATCTACTAAGATGCGCAACAACTGATGGAGGTAGGAGTATGTGGGGAGCAAATAAAATCATAGTTGGCCAAATTTGCAAACCTCATGAAAATATAAGGTGTTTAAAGCCTATTTATTGCTCATGGTAATATCAATCAGCAAGTGCTTTGCATAAAATATTTGAGTCTACTGTGTTATTGAACCAGTTACAACGGTTAGCTTCATTTGCTCTCACGAACTTACTCATCATCAAAATTTTTCTCCGAAACAGGCCTGGCTGGTGCGGCTCAGTGGATTGAGTCCCAGCCCACAAACCAAAGGGCCACCCATTCTATTCCCAGTCAGGACACATGCCTGGGTTGTGGGCCAGGTCCCCAGTAGGGGGATGAGGGGCAATCATACATTGATGTTTCTCTCCCTCTCTAAAAATAAATAAATAAAATCTTTAAGAAAATAATTTTTTTCTCAGAAGCAGATAAATATCCTGGTATGTCCTACCATACAACGATATAATGGCTTAGCGGTAGTATCGTTTCATTAAAATTTTTGAGCTCAGATTTGAGATAAAAATTTTTCTGAACAAGAAGAACCCTCCCCCGAAACCACATTACTGAACACTGAATGCCTTTGGAAATTACTTATTGCTGCAGGTTTCATATTTCTGAATGAATTCAACCTAAAATTAGAAAACCAACAGCACTTAACACAAAAAACCTACACTGATGTTTTCATTTTCATTTTGAGCAAAACTGATGGTGTGTAACGTCACGGTTTTTTTTTTTACACATTCTATGCTGTCAG